CTTGCACAGCAGGTAGCGAAACCACTGAGCTAAATCCCCAGCCCAATGCTTTTAATTCTTTTGGGAAGATACCAAGAAGGGAAATAGCTGGGTTAAATGGAACCTCTGATTTTACTTTTTTTTTTTTTTTTTGAGATAGGGTCTCACTATGTAGTTTAGGCTGACCTTTAACTCACTATGTACTCCAGATAGATGATGCCGAGTGTTGGTGGGTTTGTAGGAGAGCCAGCATTTATTTGTAATAGCTAAACTTTCAAAAGAGCTTAGATGTCCTAAGGGTCTAGTTGAATAAATTATGGTTCATCGAAAAAATGTGATGAGAGCTCTGTGTACTCTTAACAGTAACACTGACTAATATACTAACTTAAGAGCTTTGTAGAAGGATAAGATATGTTGTTTGTCTCTGGGAAGTGTGACTAATGGAGAAACTGACAAAATTTCTTATTCACGCCTCTTTTACAAACTATCTGGTAAACACCATTTCATGATAGTTGTCAAAATAGTGGGGAAAAGTAGCAAAATAGTGGGAAATAGTAGCAAAAGAATACAGCAAACCAACCTCAAAAAATATACATCTTAACAAGTAATAAAAAGAAATGGTTGACACTAGTGGTTCTGAGAGGTAAATAGTCACTGATTTCTTAGTCAGGCCCTTGTGAATTGGTTACTTGCCTCTAGCATCTGATGAAAGGTTGATAAACTTTAGTTTCTGAAGCTTCAGGTACAAAGATCAGATCACAGACTGTGGTTGGAGGTGGTTCTTGAGGTTGGACAACAACCTGCCAGTTGCTACACCTACCCAAGGTGCAAGTTGGAATTATGACTTCCTGTGATCTGGGCATGTGTTTTCATTAATGCAGAAAAGATTCAATATTTTTTAACTTTTGGTTGACTCTGTACTTCAAACCTTCACCTAGATGGTTGTATATGTATAATTAAAAGTTTTACATGGAGGTAATTAATTACTTAGTATGACCTAGTAGGCAAAAATCCTTCCAGAATTTGAGATTTTATGAGGGAGATTAGAAGCTAATAAATAAAAAGGATTCTTGGAATAATTTTTTGAGATTCATTCATCTATTCATTCAACAAGTTTGTTGAATCCTGACTTTTTTGGGGTTTTTTTTTTTTAGATAGGCTCACTGTGTAATTCAGGTTGGGCTTGAACTCACTATGTAGCCCAGGCTGGCCTTGAACTTGTGGTGATCCTTCTGCTCAGCCTCCCAAGTGCTGGAATTATAGGCGTGCACCACCATGCCTGGCCATGAGTCCTGACTCTATTGAACAATGTGAAACAAGTAACAATTCCAAGTCCTTACATAGTTTACCTAATCTGAGGTGAGAGAAGAAACATAGAAGCTAGCAATTACAGGAATATGATAAATGCTGTGATAGACAAGAAGTGATGATCCCATAGACATACATACTTTACACAATAGCCCTATGGAGAAAATTATTCTTTTGTAATTGAGGCCCAAGAACTTGATATTGTAGAAGTCTAGGTGGGAAATAATGGTAAATTATGGTAGGTTGTTAATAGTGGGGAGACTTAGATGAATACACAATATATTATAGTTTACCAATTATTCTCTTTATATTTATTTAGGTACTAGGAATTGAACCCAGGGCCTTTGTACGGAGCTACATCCCAGCTCTTTTTTTTGTTTTGTTTTGTTTTTTTGAGATAGGGTCTTGCTAAGTTACTAAATTGCCCAGGCTGGACTAAAACGAGATCCTCCTGCCTCAGCCTCCCAGAGTGCTAGGATTGTAGGTACACCACCATGTCCAGCTTTTATTTTATTATTTTTACACTGTTAGGGATCCAGTCCAGAGCCTTAGACACTAGTGAGTGCTCTACCACTGAGTTACATCCCCGGCTCAGTAGTTAATCATTTTTTTTTTCCTTCCTGGAAACAAGTTTTATTTAAATAAGGGCTTAAATACATTACATAACATCAAAACTGGAAGAGAGAAAGAAAACCAAAACCAGTTTATTAACCTCATATGACATTGGGCAGCTGCTGTGAGTGGGTTGCAAGCTGTCCCCGGTTACACTGGTCACGTCAGGTCGATTTGTTTCCTTGTCAGAAGTTTAACTGCACCAGCCTGGCTTTGTGTGCTGGGGTTTGATGTCCCTTAGCTAGGATGTCTGTGTTACCACCTTGCTGGATGGAGGGTGGCCCAAGTTCTGCCACCTGGTAGGTGAGACACCAAGGGCTCTTTGCTACCAAAGGCTTCCTCTAGTGGCGCAGCCACCCCTCTGCCTTACCCCATGCTCTTGGGTCACCCAGGCTGCTTGGGTGGGGACCTTCTAGGGCCAGGGGCTGTGCAGAGGGAGCTAAGAGAGCTCCTGGCCAAACATACCTGCCCATGTTCTCGGTGCCCTGCTGAAATATACAGTACTGCTTTTTCAGGCTGCACACTGCCGTGTGCATACTGCGTGACCTCTGTTCAAATGAGAGACTTCCAGAGTAGACAACATGGCTCTTTTCAGTTTATTGCATGAGTTACACTAGTCCAAGTGAAAAAGGACCCCAAATGGTTACACTGTACAAGCTGTGAGGTTTTTAAACTTGTGACAAAGGACAGAAGGCATTTCTACTCATTGCAAGGAAATCCTTACTTAAGCTTCTATGAACCACAAGCACTTAAAACCCATGATCGTCCTTAGCCAGTCCAATCTCTACCAGGAACTGGCATATGTTCTTGCGCTGGTCACCCTGGAGCTGGATTACTTCTTCATATTCTGGATGCTTGATTACAGTACCATTGCAGGCAAATTTCTTCTTAAATAC